GGCTGCGGCTTTGGCAGGAGAGCGGCCGGGCCGCGCTGCGCTGCCCCGGCTCCTCCGGGCAACCTCAGCGCGGTTCATCACGGTGCCAGCCAAGAAGGAAAAAAGCAGCAGCCACCAGTCTTTTCTGATAGTGAAACTGCCCCTAAAAATAAACACATGAATAAATCACGGGCACCTCAGTGTCTCAGTTGTATCAATGGCTTTTATACAAGCTTACCTACACACCACTTCCCCCTCACGCACAGACGCCAGACCTTTAGATTTTACTTCACAAACACAATGGTCAAGAATTGTATTTATGGAGTTAAAAACCCAAATAACGGATTTCTCCAACACACAATAAAAATTAATAGTTTGGGTAACTCAGCTACGTTATCTTTGCATAAACCTTATAGTGCATAATGGGGACTTTGTTTTCCTTACTTACTTAACGTAGTTAGCGAACTGATAATCCATTTTTACCCTAAAATTCTTCTTTGACATCAACCAAACATTTCGCAGAAGTCTGGCCGTGCCACCAGCTGCACACTCCGCTCAGCGACTTTTTCCTCGTGCTTTTCCTGCCTCCACCTGTACCCATGCCTTCTCCATGTCTGAGCTCTTTGGAGCAACGTTCACCTTACTCTGTTCAAACAAATTCCTAGCCTACAGCTAAGCTTACCATAATACAGGTAATAAGAGAGAGGAAAATATTCTTGCCTAGACGATGGCAAGAGTAAGAAGTTGGGTTTTTTTTCAGCAAACAACCCAAAGCCATTCTTATTGGTACTTTGGTTTGGGTGGCTGTGATCAGAAATCAAGTTGTACGGTGTACAATTTAATCTCTGCTGCTTCTCCTCCTTTTCCCCACATCCATCTGCCCTCTTCGGTCTCCTCTGTAGTCTCATCCCTCCCCATTCCTTTTGGAGACCGGCTCCAAATTTACCTTCAGTCTGGGTAAGTAACAAACCAGAAACAACTGATTGATCTTGATAAGGGAACTGGGTAACTTTGACGGTATGCAATAGGCACTCTCAAATTAAGTTTTGCTTACGTTCAGTCCTAAAATGTAAGACCAGTTTATCTGCAACATGAAAAAAATCCAGCGTGCATCTGCTCGATAGCATACTTTTGTGAAATACAAGCAACTACATGTCGGCAAAGCGGTCACTCACTTTTCCATCCTTGGATGTGCCTGCAACTTGACCTGTTGCTATAGTGATCCTATCAGGATGGACAGCCAGGCTAAAGAAAAGAAACAAAGGCCAAACTTACAGACATTTATTATCTATTTCATCAAACTTTTACTTAAGCCTGTAATAAATAGCCTTATTTTGGTCATATAAGACACATAGCATACATGTAAACATTTTAAAAATGTAAAAACAGAACAGACAACAGAATTTTCGTGCTCTTTTATTGAAAAAAATACTTCCTTGTGAACAAGGCAGTAATTTGCTTAAGCCCTAATACTGCAAAGCATGTACCAAACAAGCCTCACACTAAATTATGTTGGGAGTCATCTCATGTAGATTTAAAGTGACTGCAGTGTATAATGAGTTTACACTCCACGCTAGTTATCTACCTTCAGCTATCTCTAATCAGAGGTTGTAGAGGCCTGGTCAGTACGGTCAATGTTGTCTAGCAACAATCCTCCAGAGCAAACATATGCATATCTACTCCAGTATTGCTTTTCAGACTGTACTGACCAGATATTCAGCAACTCTTGTATGGAGATAACAACTTCTCTCTAATAATTTTTCAAAAGGTGAAAAATGTCCTTTAATAATAAGAACCAGGACACTGAAGTCAGGAATTTTGATTCTAAAATTAAAACCAGAATACAGACATCAGGATTTTTGATTCTAAAATTAAAACTGAGATTTTCAAAACTTCAATCAATGTTAACTAATGTCTGTAAGGGAAAAACAACCTAAAATTTGTATTAAAGCCTGCAGTACCGTCTCCTTTTGCTCCAAATCCACTCTTAATTCTTTTTTTCAGAGCAGCTGCTTTGCATACAGTTCTAGAGGCAAAGTGCCCTGCAGAATGAACTGTGGCAATAATTCATTCAGCTTTATAATGCAGAAAGGTATCCACTTTCTAATAAACCTGAAAGCTTTCAAATATCTAGAGCCAGAAAATCTGACAGAAAGAAATGAGATGGAACAGGTCCAGGTTAAAAATCTCCTTGTAAAACAACTAGATTATACAAATAATTCAATTTTATGAAACATGCTCACAATGCAACCAGATTTGATTATCAAGTCTATTTTTGGCATTGAGGGACAACAGGTGTTTCATAATGCTTAATCTAAAGAAGGGATGTCAAACTCATTTCATACATTAGGGCCCATCAGATAATACGTGCTCTTTTTCAGCTACACTCAGCAAGCAGACAGATATCGTCAAGATAAACCATATGTTTATTTAGATTTCAGTTTAACAATACTGGTATTTCCTGATACCTAGTCTCCCCTAAGCCTGAACACTGCTAAATCTCTCTGAAGCCCAAGCTGGTGCAGAGCAGCAGAGAAGCCAGGCTGCTCAGGAGTAGTGTGCAGAATATCAGCCACGATGTAGACCTGCCTGAAGACTACCAGCAAGACAGCAGATGAGATTCAAACTGTTTCGTTCATTACATTGAGCCTAAAGGACCTGTATCTGGCACCCAGACCCAGGTGAAGATGAATAATTCAATCCTACTTAAACAGGGAAAGAAGAGTCTAAGGAAGTAGTTCATCATCCTAAAAACAAAGTAATGAAAATGAGTGGATCCATAGATTAAGTCAGATTTCTACTTTTCTGCATTCTCAATGTAAAAAGTATACTAGTTATGGAAAATAAATTTTCTCAAGTAAATAGAAGGAGGAATTCTTGAGACAGAGAAACAAGCAGTAGCTTAGAGAACATCAATCCAGCAACTGGATATAGACACATCCAAACGAGGTAGCACAGCAGACTTCAAGGCAGGTTCCACAAGCAAACTCAGGCTCTGTAAGGGTCATATTTGAATATCTTCGGGTCTGTGCTGTCACATCCTGACAGCAGTTGCTTTGTGTGCTGACGAGATAGAGCTATAACATACATTTGACATCCTTACCATGATTAGTCAGACCTTCATCTGACTGTAAAATGCACTGTTAGGCAAATGGACCCAACCTATGCAAGACTTAGAAGTTAAATCAAGTTTTCAGAACTACATTAAAAGAACAAAACATTACTTCCCAAGTGTTGTTTTACGAAGAAAAAAGAACAGTTATTAGGTGACTTACCACTTCACATCATCATTATGACCAGTGTAATGTCTCTGAAGTTGCTCTTCAACATTGAATAACACAACTACAGATGCAATGAAATACACAGTTTCGCCCGTTGGAAGAAGATAGAGGTTACTGCGACAGTCCCGACCCCTATATCCATAGCTAGCATGTTGGTCAAGCTGCAATAACATTATCCACCAATGAAGAATGTTAAAAATAAGGAAAACCAAAATGGATTCTCTTCTCTTGAAGTCAGCATCTCTTGGCTTGAGCACAGCTTGTCACCTGGCACCCTTCACAACTCCCTCCCTTACTACAGCAAAGAGAGCTAAAGTGTTTCACAGATGGAGTGACTTAAAACCTACATATCCTACAGAAAATACATGGCAAAAGAGACAGGATTTTGTGACATACTATCCCTTTAGTATCCTCTGGAATTTGTTAAATGCCAGGCTAAGGCAATATTAATTTTGTCCCAAGTGTATTTATTATTTACGTTGGTTGACTAATTAAAACTAAAATTTAGACTTGATGGAAACACTAATAAGTCATTCACTACAGCTCTCTGCATTGCATTAGGATTGATTGCATTATCCTTTGTGCAGGTTGATTGATTTCATTATTCTGGGCATTACCAGCCAGATGGACGTGAAACCGTAAAAGGGTTACATCATCCATTCCAATTTATTTTTGTAGTATTTAAAAGGCAGTGGCCCAGATTCTGATGCTAGTCATATCAACACTAATCTAAAATTAATCCAATGAAATAACTGGAACTAATCCAGAATCAATCTCATTTAGACTGAATGTTAATTCAGCCAAATTATGCAGTTTTATTCTTCCAAAGAGTCATTAGGGACTACAACTATTTTGGCTTTCCTTTTTTATGGGAACAGAGAGAAACAGCATTAGCAGAATCTTGGCAAAATAGAAATGCATTCTAATTCAGTCAATATGGAGAAACTGGCTGTGACATATATACAGAGAGGTACTGAAACCCTAATTATGTGATATCAAAAAGATACTTGTGCACTGTTCTCTACAGTCAATGATAACCCAGTCAAACTAAAAAACTCCTGTTACCATCATCCAAGAAGTAAGGATGATAGTTACCTTACTTCTAAAATAGGAATTTAAATAACAGCTTGCTGATTTTTTCTAATAAATGCAATAGAAGCAGTGCTGCATACCCAACCATCAAAATGTGCATTAAAAAAATACAGCTTTTGGACTCCCAAACTGAAATATTTCAGCTAAAGTTCCTTCAAGTTTGAGATACTCAAATTTGAAGACATGGAAACAACCAACATCTTCAAACTGCAAAGCATTTACTATCAATTTTGAATCTGTCTGTAAAAGTTAGTTACTACTCTAGATTGCAGGAAAATACAAATAAATTTGTTTAAATTTATTTTTCTCCATAAGGCCAGACACCATTACCAACTGAAGCCAAGATAAAATTTCCCTAGGTGAACAATATATAATCAATTTATAATGAACTAGCAGCTGAAGTTAGCTTAAGAAATTGAACTTTTTTTAAAAAATGAAGTAAAAACTTTATACAGACATTCATAAGAAACAAATGTCTGTGCACAAAAATAGCTGTTAAGTGGGAAAGATTACATTCTTTAGGGAAAACCTCCTTTCTTTACGATTCTTCCTGTGGAGAACAATGCTGCATTCAACCCTTCGCATGATTGCTGTTGTCAAACACTCAGTTTCTTTCTATCAGCCTTTTTTCTCAGATGTAAACTCCTGGGGTTGGTCTCTCCTCCTCCTCACTGTTTCCCACACTCGGATTCAGTGGCTTCAACTTTGATTTGGTGAGCTGGCACTTCAGGGAATGTTATCTTGACCTTTTTCTTTTCATTTGGGCTGCAGCTTTTGTTTCGTACCTCCCGCTTGCCAAGCGAGCCGGTCTCAGACGGATCCGTGCAGATCACTGCTCCTGCCCTGATGTTCCCCGTGCTGGCTTCTCGCTAGGATTTTATCACCTCTGTTCCAGCCCTCCCCAACAATTCATCACTCAGCATTTCTGTTTCTTCATGTCTGAATATATCTGATGTGCTCTGAACCATTTTTGGCTTACCCAGATACCTGCTACCAGGACTGCAAAGCCCCTTTAAGGTTCAGGTATGCCCTGAAATCTACACACATTAGATTTTCTTCCCTCTGTTTCTCATCATAGTCTGCTTTTCCCTTTCCATTTGTCCACCTCACCTCCAGTATCTTGTTTCTCTATCCCCATTCTTATATTATAAAGCATTTCTGGTTGTAATCCCACATCAAGCTGATTTGTCCGCTACAGAGCTGTTCTCTCCCACTTCAGTTCTGTCACCCTCCAAGCAAACAGCTCAGCTTCTCCCACTTAACTGGAATGAAGGCCTGCAGTATCGGTTGGTTTTCTGTTGTCTTCCTCTTTCTCCTTAATTTATTTTATGCTTCTGCCCCCAGCTTTTCTTCTCATCATTATAGTCTGTAAGTTTGACATTTGTTCTCTCTCTTTTTTTTCTAAAGAAGTCTTTCATATAACTAGTCATTGGTGTAACTTTTAAGTACGGATATGATGACTGGGGTCTCACTGCAAATAAATTAAAATCTAAAAAACAATATAGCACAGTATTTTTGGAAAAAAATGTGCTTCCTCCTCAGTAACCATTCAGAGTTAGAGCATTGTATGAATTCATACCTTTTCTATTCATAGACAACCTTTATATATAGGATTCTGTTGGACATACAGGCACACACCTGGAAGGACATATGAATATTCAAACTAAAAATAATACTCCATCTGGCAAATATTCAGTCATTTAAGTAAGCTTAAGCAAGAAAATAATGAGACTGAATGGATAATAATTGGTAATTATAACTTCTTACAATAGTCTGAAATACTAACTTTAGCTTCCACCTACACACTGTTAATGACAGTCTGTTTTGTGTAGTGGTTGAGGTTTCTCGTTGTTTCAGCAAGCATCCTAACACCTTCTCCCGTACCATCCTTGGGCCCCCTAAGCGAGGGGCACCTTGCAAGCACCAAAAGACATCATTCAGTTCTGTTGTGATACATGGCGAGAGCCTGTGCAACCATTAGATGGTAAAATGCTGCAAGCAGTATTTATCACTAATCTCAGATGTTTCATTAATTTTGTGGATTTTTTGTTTTTTAACTCCTCTTCAGTTATTTCTGTATGCATTATCTATGCAGTTCCAGCAGAGTGGGGTAGAACCTACAGGCTCAGCTGCAATAGCAATAATAAGAATGGTTACTAAATCTGTCACTAATCTCCTGTGAATACAATGGGACTTTTGGAAACGCTCTGTGTGCATTCTGAAACCACATGCAGTTCTATTTATACAACTACGAAAAAGACTATTTGCAGCCTGTCTTTTTTTTTATGAAGACAAAGCAACTTCCTATTTGCACTGTTTGGAATTAAAAAAAAAAAAAAGTATTTTTCTTAAAATAGAAAACCTTATGAAGACTTCATCTCTCTAAAGATAGTGGATATTACAAATAGACTCAGATCTTGTTGTGTTTATATTTTATCTTGAATCATATATTACATACACTAAGATTACACAGAAATGAAATGTCATTTCTTTTTTCAATAAAGAATGTATTTTCTCATTATATTTAAAAGTGAAATGTGAAAATTTCTGTATGTAATGAAACACCGATTCTGTAGTTATGTCCAGTCACAGAAGTCAGTGGAAAATTCTGGTTGTTCAGTATTTATGATGTTTAAACACAGTTTAAAAAGTAAATTGAAACATTGTTTTATATACAATACCTGATGAATTTCATTGCTAAGCACCTATCAGTTGCAAAGCACTATTCAATTCAGGGCTTATTCAAGTACTGAAGTTGATGACAGCATCCTCTAAAGGACAATGGCGCGCATTTTATAAAACACAGAATAAAACGATAAATTACTGGTGAGAACCAGAAAAAAAAAACTGAGCTGGATCTGGGCATACTATAATTAATAATCACAGCTCACTACATTCTTACAATATGCCTAGCTTAATCTTTAGCTAATTAGCATGCTTCACACTTAACCTTCAGGCAACATTTAAGCAAAATCTTTCTTAAGCTGCGACCCTGTACTTCACAAGGTGCAGAACAGCAGCCTCAAGAAATTAACATTTATTTCAACGGAATGTCATTCCACTAATGAAACGATCCCTAATAATAAAGATCTTAATTTTGCTACACTTTAGCTCAAAAAATTATTTAAAACAAATCATTAAGAAATGATTGATTTCCAGTCGTCCTCTAGCACAGAAAGGATACACCCATTCCAGTTTAAGCCTCTTGGCTGGTAGTTCTACTTTTGCTTCCAAATTGTAAGATTCCACTTGCTCTTTGGGCATGTACATGGTAACAGGACGTCCACGAAGAAACATTTTTACGTATCCTTCCTCTACAAAAGGTCAGAAATGTTTAGTGTTACACAAAAACAGCCACCAGCGGAGAACTCCAGTGCTCCTCCATCCCTTCCCTCTCAATAGTTTGGTGCGTTACAATTAGAGAATGACATGCAACATCAAACTCAAGAAATTAAGCAGGCTTTTTTTTCGTAAATCATAATAACTAAGCAGAACTTTTTTTAAACATACAAAGTCCCTTTTTCCTCTAAATATTTTGAGCAGCAGAATTAGAACTTAGCAATGTCAAGAAGGAATACAAAGCTGAAAGGACTGAAATCAAAACTTTTTTGGTGAAAAATGTTACAATATTACTTTTTAAAAAATATTAAAAATGAAGGGGAAAACATCAAAGATTACAATTAACGCAGAAATGCCACTTCAAATTAATTTTATTTTTTAATCAATATTTACAGTGGAGCATCAGCATCTAAAGTATTTTCCAACACTCTCATTCTTCGCATCTCAGTGTAAAGATATGCTTTACACTTGATACAGTGTTAGAGATACATTCGAAATACGGAACACAAACAGTTAGTAAAAGGAACCATGCTGATGTACATGCGGAAAAGATATGCACTTTAAGAATTACTAAACATTGAAAAAGGAATGACAACATTGACAGCACATTAAAAGAAAGGAAAATGACATACAGAAGACAAGCTACAAAAACTGAATTGGCTGACAGAAGTAAACATTTCTAGAAGAAAATACTAAAAGTAATGTGTTGAACTGGTAAGAAATATTTTTGGGGGAGAGAAGCAGGAATTAATAACAGATCTGGAAGTACTGACTTGGGGACTTCATGGGGCTTATAAAACTAGGAGATCTGGCAAATGCCATGAAGGTCTGACTAGGACTTTTGGGAACTGGCAAGGCCAAAGTGGGTGTCCTGTGAACTTCTGGTGAAGTTTGTCCACATTCAGAACGTGCTGGCTCTTGCTGCTCCATCGGCAGATCAAGGGGTTCAGCCTTGTTCTCATGCGAATCAAGCAGTTTTGGAGTCAGTGACATCTGTAGAGTTACTAGACAGAATAATCGTGGGCACAGAGGAAATGGAAGGGCAGAAGTAACAAAATCATGTAAATGAAAAAAACTTAAACAATTTAGGACTGTTAAAATTATGCTATGAATTGTTCAGTATCATTACAACTACACCATTATTTTTTAATTTGAAAACTAAGGCTTTATTTGAATTAGAAATATGCATATGCTACAAATCCTGACTAAATGAATAAATTTTATTGGTTGAACAAATAAACGTCATAGCTATGCTGTTTACCTAAATATATGTGTATTTTTGCCTTTACACTACTTCATTTGGGAAAGAGATCTACCTGATATGTGACAGTAAAGTTACGGCTAGGGCTCTCTAAAATCCCTTCGTTTATAGAATTCATACATATAATGAAAACAACAGAAAACTGAACGCTAAAAAGAAGTAATAATAATGGTGAAATAATGGTGACACAGTTGGAGCTTAAGATGCCTGTTAAAATGCTAGAATACTGGAATTGGTTTTAAAAATCTACTCCAATAGATCTGTACTGGAAAATAAAATAGGGAGCATAGGGCATTAAATAGCAGAGCATCACAGCACTATTTGTATGCGCATGCAGCACCTATCTAAAGAGCTTGAAACACATGCCAGCACTACTGATACTGGTGCATTGGAAGTCAATAGATTTTCAGCAGTGACAAGCACTGGCTGAGCTTATCAAAGGCTGGGAATGAATGAAAGTTTAATTCACTGCGCTGCTTTTCTCACCTGAAACTTATGGGACTCATCAAACTTGCATTTAGCAATCTGCAGTGGAAGTATCTGACCTAGTCACTCAAAACTCCTTTTTAGAGTAAACAGGGAGAAGCAGGTACTTTTGGACAAATTAATGGCATGTTAAGGCAGATGTCCAAAAGCAAGTACAGTAAATTATACCAAGTATATTATACCAAGTACACAAATTCTGCCTTCAGAATGCCTCTCTCTCTCAACTGTAAAGAGGAAACGAGGATGACTAGGTCAGGCACAGAAATCCGTACCGTGTATTTACTTCTAACTTTTGGTAATATTAATTACAACTGTACTGATTTTTGTCAGTAATCCAAACATATTATCTACATAACCAAACTACATCCCTTTCCTCACATTTTTCATAACTAAGTTTTTAAGACAGCAGAGTTCTAAATGTGAAGATACAGATGTAAAGACAGACAATCATCAAACTACAAAGACAGACCAATGGTGAAACGTTTAGACAAATGTATCTTTTACATCTGCAATTTTGTAAATTTGAAATTGTTGTTGAAAATAACTTAAAAATTAACAGTTACTGAACTGAACTAAGAAGGCACATGAATGCCAGTAGGATCTGCAAAGGAGATCACTACTGATTGCAGGCATAAAACTGTACAAAGAATACACAGAGGCAGAGAGTATAAAAGACTTTGCCTTAAGAGCAAACATTCTTTGCTTTGTGAAATTTTAGATTGGTTGCAAAGCTGAAAGATGCTGATTAGTGGAGAAACTGTCAGGATTTAGCTATCTCTAAGAAGCAAGACAAATCTGTGATTGTATCACAGACATAAACATGCACCCAAAATGTGCATATTTACACTACAGTTTAGCTAAAGCTTTAGAAAACAATACGGTATGTTTACCAAATATAACTCTGCTTTATGACATTGAGCAAAAAGCACTGAGAAATTAGTTGGAAGCCTAGGTCTGTTTATTCAACATTCAGAAAAATCTACAGTCTATTCAGTAAGAAAAAGCAAGGGAAAAACCAAGGCTTCTATAACCATGTTAGCCTAACAGCAAAACAGCCAACAACGGGGCAAATTCTATATGAATTTCAGCAAATGTGCAGAACACCATTTCAAACACAGTGAACATCCATGTGTTGCCATATAGCTCTCTCAACATATTTTTTCTAATTCAAATTCTTCTGACAAAATCCACAGGAATCTAAATTATAACCCGTTATTATTATTATTATTAAAGTGCACCCAAGGGTTATAATTCAGTAGACTGCATAATAGATGGCGTAATAGTTTTGTTCCACTCAATAGAAAAGTTTTAACATTGCAAAATGTGCGCAGGTTAGAAGGTAGCTGTTTACACGTTGAGCTTTTATCCCACCAGTACCATTTTGCTTCGAGAGCTATGAGGTTTTGGAAGTGAAGCCTACCTTTGCAGTGTGTCACACGGCGCTTCCCTTGTGATTACAGAGACAGAGACAGAAGGGCTAGATAAAGATGTGTTTGAATACATTAAACTTACTAAATACCTGCTCTACCTGCTGTCCAGTCATCTGCTGGAGGCTAACTTGGTACTTGACATAACACTGAGCCATACGCCACATCGTATGTTGGGTAGTTACAGTCGAAACACTTTTCCTCCAGCTAGGGGCTCAATTTAGTTCTTCTATCATTAAAATGCTAGCTTAAGCTCCATTATGCAACTCTATGCTTAAAGTAAGCAAAATACCAAGTATAACTTTCTTAAAAAAAAAACCCCACTAATTTCAGTGGGAATTTTTTCAGGTGACAAGGCTAAAAGTGGCGTCACATCTGTTTAATCACTGATCTTTATCTACAGGGAAAGTGTCACAAGAAAAATTATTCCAAATACCTTTGCTTACATGGTGCAAGAGAAGGAGAAATGTTATACAAGAGCAGTATATTCTGTGTGAATCAGAAGTTTTCTTTTTCTAAGCCAACAGTTTTCATGAAAGGGACATGAACTGTGACTGTATTGCCACAAAATATGTATTACTCAGTTCAAAATCAATTACACTAAACCCTAAAGTATGGCTTAAGAGCTTTGTTGGATGCTGATCAATCAGCTCAGTAAACAAAGATTTGCTACTTTTTCAGCTTGATGTATGATTACTGTTACAGAACTATACACAAAAAGAATATGATACATCTGATAAATCAACAGTTTTTTTCGCTCCCTTATTCCATTAAAAGAAAGCTTTTATTTTAGTTGTCCTTAGTTTTTCAGAACAAAAATAACTGTTATGTATACTATTCCACTTTGCATTTTTATTGAGATTGTTCAAAAGTCTGTAGCTGTCTAATGACAAGGACAAATTCTGCTTTCACTTACACCTGCTATATCACTTTCAAAATCTTTTTATAGGGATAATATGTAAGTAGGAAAAAGTCAAAGTGATTTTCAAATTAAAGATAGACTTCCAAAACCGTAGTAACAAAACACTTTCTTCATTTGTAATTTGACAAAATTTATCACAAGGCACTGGGACAGATGTGGCATTCTTTAACAGTAGTTGAGGGCTCCCTTTTATGACTAAATGAACATGACAGCATCACAGCCAGAACTGGCATATGCTTTAATTAACAAAACCTTAATACTGCTTTGAAAGGGAAGACTTATTTGGGGTAAGAAGGCACAGCCTTTTTCTTCTTTGTCTTCTTACAAAGAATACTAACTGTAAAATAAACCTCTTGGGCCAATAAACACTGGAGCAAACTGCATCAACTTTTAAAAAAATATGTTATCAGTAGCCTGTAAGTAACATGTTTAGATTCTCAATATCAGTTCCTAGGCATCCACAGGGAAAAAAAAAAAAAAAAAAATCTACTATGTTATCACACTGGTTATCTGCTTAAAAATTTTAAAAGTTCCTACCTGCACTGAACATTGGTTCCTTGGGTTTGCTGTGAAAATAATGAAAAAATTTCTATTTTAAAAAGCACACACATACAGTCTGCACATACAAAAGCATTAATATAACATTTAAAATATAATGTAAAAGACAAATTTTGTGTTTGTGTGTACATATAAATAAAAATACTTTTTCAATTTAATTATTTACAAGGTAAATCCCTTGGCAGACACAATTAAAACCAGCAAACTTTGTGGCTCCTTGATGGCAGGCGTTAAAAATTTTACATTCAATTCTCCTTACATTCTCAAAACTATAGATTTTCCTCTACCAACTACCAGATCCTCTTCCGTTGCAGAGTTAGTCCAGTTACAGGAGGACACAGAAACTGGTCATGAGTAGCTGCATCAATTTTGGTTTCCAGTCAGTGAGGTTTGTTACTCCAAAGCAGTTTACAACAACCGTAACTAAAAGCTAGGAATACATCCCTAACTACAAAATGTCTCTGCATACGTGCAGCAGGGGAGGCTACTGTACCAGGGCACGTGTGGGTGTTCACCTACTTCATGGCTTTGTTCTCTCTGGATTTAAGGAGCAAAGCAAAGTTTGAATCCTGCTTTTCCAAAGAGCTTACATAAATCATGACACTACCAAATTGTTTCTTGGTGAATGACAGTACTTTGTAAAACCCAGAAAGCACATATCCATCGTGATTAAAATGTCTTCTCCTTCTCACTACACTGCTGCCTGGAAGACAATCTGAAATCAGTTTGTCTTTTTGTCTGACAAAGGATTTGGCAAAACTTGTGGTGAAAACACATGAAGCGTGTGGAGAAGGAAGAGGCAGCAAAGCTGAAGAGCTCTCTGGATAGCACTGCCCTAGCCAGAAAGAAGCAATTTTTTTTTCACGAAATGCCAGTCATTTGCTTTCTTTGTCCTTTGCCCCGGTGTAATTAGGCTTGAGGGTGTTGTTTCTGATGAAGCATGAAGGGTACACAAAGCTATATTACACAGTTATTTTTCCTCCCAGTTCCATTTTCTTCCTATCCAGCAAAACTTTTGAAATATCAGATTACAGTCGTATGTTTCTTAGGGTGATCCCAAAAGGATCCTATAATTTTGACGGAGAAATGCTGAAGCATGAAGTATCCCTAGAGCTGTGATGCCATCTCCGCATCCATTCCTAGGCTGCAGTGGGCAGATATAGAGAAATCAAAAAAAAAAAAAGAAATGAAACTGGGTTGGATTTTTGCACACAATTTTTTCTAAGCATAAAAGATTCTCTCTACAACAGAAGTTGTAGCAAATAATTTTATGGTATTTTTCCTTTTGCCTTGATTTGACAGTTACATTGAGCATACTACATTTACTTAATGATAAAACCAAAACAAAATTAAAAAATGAATTCTATTGATCCTACACATCAATTTAGCAACTTTTCATAGTATCAGCCTTAGTATTAATCATGCCTATCAAAATTTATGCTTCAAGCTGGTGTACACAGCCAATTTCATCTATATAAATAGCATGATGTGTTGCCATTGTTAACAAGATTAACATTTTCTCTTATGAATTGAGATATTTTTAGAAATTAAAAACCTTATGGGCTGGAGCACTAGAAATGCTACCATATTAGCAACAAAAGTGTCCCTAGTTCTGAACAGATCACGCTGACTTATTCAAGCTAATGAAACTGATGTGAAAAGCTGATTCATGACAGTAATAAAGCAAATCATGTGTACTTTATAATTATACAAACCCTAATCACACACATAGCTCAGACCTCCGAGTACCATTTGTATTCTTCATGAACTTGAGTTACTTCCTACTTACTAACCCTTAGGAAGGCTTAGCCATAGGGAGCTGGGACACCGCACAGCAGCATGGGAGATTGTGGTCATCTCCTTACTCCTTATGCTTAAAGCTTCTTAAAATAGCTTTCTATAACATCATGGTTATGCATAACTGTCTACAACTCATATACTTCAAAAATCTATAATTTCACGACAGCCTTTTTAGATTCCTGCATGCATTCTGCTTTAAGCTTCATTTACAGACCAGACACAGAATATCTCTAAGTTGGAAAGGACTCATAAGGACCAATGACACAAATAATAAGGCTGTGAGAAGACGGTTAAGCAACATCCTTTTCCTCACTCTTTCACACATACAGTTAGCTTTAGGAGGGGCCTTAGTCCCCAGCATACAGAATCCTGCTCATTTTTCTTCTTCTCTTGCTTTGTATTTTGCACGGTGGCCCTGCTTCAACAGGTAGCACAAGGCGAGTCTCCAGCCAACCTCTCCCACAGGATAAGGACACTCTTCAAGGCAGGAAGAGCTGTGGTGCTCAACACCCTCAGGCTGCAAGTGACAGAAATCAGGGGAAACTCTCTCCTAGGGACACCAACATCACTAGCTCCAGCTAAAGCACTCTAACACGCACTCTCGATTAGATCCTTGGGATACCTGCACATTATTTAAGCATCACATCACTTGCGTGGTGGACCTCCTCCCTGAGTCCAAAATAAGCGATTTCTGATCAATGCTGTCGCTCAACAACCCTTTGTGGCCTAACAATTGCAGAATGATGTAACCATTTGGTAGCTGTTAGAATAGTATTAAAAACTAAAAATGCATCTCAAGTACCATGATCAACTTCATAGCAGAAACAAAACAATTCTGCAGATAACCACTGATTACATCATAAGGTTTTTATCTCTCAGCTATTGTGGAATCCATTTTTCAAGTGTACAGTACCTCTATATAGCTGCTGGAAGTCATATCTTTCCTTAATTTAAATTAAGAACAACCTAATTAATAATGTCACCTTATTTCTTTAGTAGCTTTAATATAAAGCTGATTTCAGATAATTATCACCTTATGCAGGTAGCAGGAACTCAGGTATATCTTAAAAAAAACCAGATTTTGCAAAGCACTGTACTTCGATTTTGACAGGTTTATCTTCCACTGCACAACATATGCAGAATTCACCCTTTGGGAACTTGAAATGTTTTGTTAAAAAACATTGATAAAATGCATAGAGAAAGGACACTGCAGGATCATCACATTTGTTAAAACTTTTTTTCAAAAAGTACAGTTAATTGGAAAAGTACTGACATTTCACCATTGGTAGTTGTACTTCCTCCTCACATTCCCATCTAATGACAGAAATTTAAATTTTTTAGCAAAAAGGTTCCATAAGAAATTTGCTTAGTTTATATAAGGTGATGTTTTTTGAATTAATGAAGTCACAATGTAAGGTTTGTTGCTATGATTTGATATGTGCCGTAGAGCAGGAAGTGTAAAAAATGAGCCTTAGAAAAACCTACCATCTTCAAGAGATCAACACAGAAAACAGCAGCTCCTTGTTAATGAATTCACTGTCACAAGGTCGGTGTATGAAGTTATGCACTACTGCAACACTTCATAGAACTTCCAGCTTAAACAAAAAGCAAACTTCTATCTTCCCAGCAACCCCTTAACTGGTCTTTCATTTCTTGCTTAGTTTTGCCTTTCAAAGCTCTTGTCCCTAAGAGCGTTGATATTTGGTTTTCTGCTTCCGCAGTATTCCATCAGATGTACCAAGGTACACATTCTCTGTGCTAGATGGGTCTGAGATGCTTAGTAGCAATTTTGTCCAAGTCTGCACATGCAGAAAGAGACATGGCTCCTAAGTAATTCAATAAAAGATCGATTGCCTCTCAAAAACAGTATTTTTTAGGAATTATTTAAAGAGCCAATTGCAATAGTAGGTTTTTTTTGCAATTATATTTCAGTCTTTAAGGAAATTTGAAGTGAAGTACAAAAATCTTGTAAACAAACCAAAATCACTTCTATGCAGTACCATTGCAGGATTCTCATCTCTTCAAAATACATTCCCCAAAGGCTATCTGTTTATAATTGTTTTACAAAAAAATTTAAGAAAAAAAATCATATGCTGAGATAAAGTCAGATTTCCAACAGTGCCGGAAGGCCCAGTCCTGCAGAATTCTGCTGGCTTACAAAAACCTCATTCACATGCATCGATGCACATCATCAAGAAGATTTGACACTGGCTAAATTTTTAGTTTGTGTAAATATTTAATTCTATCTTCCTTGTTTACAATTTTATAACCTTTTCTCTGATGGTATTCTCAGTTTTTTCATTATTCCCATAATTTGGTAAGTCCCTTGCAAGTTGCACACTTGCTGTCTTGCTTCATAGCTGAAAATATAAGCCAGGATATAAGCCAGGATATAAACTATTAATAATTTCATCACCTATATTTAGGCTGTCCATGAATACACAACAACCACGGTCACTCCTCACATCAAGTGAAGATGCTGAAGCGATAAAAATGAAGGGATGTCTTGTGCCACACCATCAGCTCACGAGCAACCCAGCGACCCCTATGATGGCACCAGTGCCCACATGGAGCAGGTAAATTATGTTATTATGTGATCTTCATCAGCATTCTGTTTCTATGGTCTTGATCTTGACCTATGAGTTTTCTCACTTTTTCTCTCCCTAGTCTCCTCCCCCATTCTCCTGGGGGAGAGGGAGTGAGTGGCTGTGTGGTGCTTAGCTTCCAGCTGGGCTCAACCCACCACAACCAGGAACCTGAAAAAGTATATGTCAGGAACTTGAGGACCAAGGGAAACCACTAAGATAATGCAAAAGGTATGTTTAATAATTACAAACCTTTCCAGGCAACTCAAGGTTCTCACATTATTTATGGTTTGGAAATAAGGCAAATAATTTTCATCTAAATTTAAAAACCTGTTTTATTTGAAATATTTTTAAACATATTTTTGCCCAATTGTTGGATTTTTTTTTTAAAAAAAGCTCCAAATATTTGCTAAACTAGAGAAACTAATCTCACTAAAGAAACTAATTTCATTATTAGGGCAGCAGGCAGAGAAAGGAGATAGCTATTTAGATAACATTACCTTTCACTGTTCTTTTTACCACTAGATGAACTGCTGGTGGATCCAGTGCGGTTGCGACTCCCTTTGGAATCTCCATAGCTTTCCCTCCGACTGCCTGGGGACACACGCTCAGCTGAACTGGTTCTCTTGACGGTGCTAATAAAAACGGAGCAAGTTTTACAGTGGCAGTTGTAAAAGCACGTACCTCTATAACAAATATTTTTGAGAAACATATTAAGTAGCATGCTAACCCTAAAAATAACCACAACTTCATTCTTAATCATAACTTGATGTGTTAAAGAGCCTACATGCGAGTTTTGCCAAGTACCTGGTGCAACAAACATACTCCTTTTTCCTTAATCATAAAATAGAAGATGGGCTAAATCAATATCACAGAGTAAGTTGCAATATCTATTTTCCAGGTCACAATTTCAAATCTATGACTACCACTCCATACTTCTGGACTTGTGGATTTTCTTAAGAAGTGAAAGATTTAAAGAGAAAGTATATTACCTGACACCTCCAGCCAGTCTACAGCGAATGCCAGAAGTAGGTCGAAATTTGAGCACCAGGAAGCTAACTTCATGTCTTCATTCAGTACATATTATTCTGTGGTTCAAAGCTAGTTCTAACATACCCCAAAGTGCAATTAACGATGAGCTAGCCTGCGTTCTTTCGTTAGCTTGTCAAAAATATATGCTTCCTACTTACATGTATGAATAGATTAGATTCCCCACATCTCCTGACAAGGGGTTTCTCACAGGCTCAAAGCTTGCCTTACTCTCTCACTCTTCAACCATCCTTCCTGCCAAGATAGCTGTCAGGGAGCTCTTGCCTGACTTTATGGCCCCCCTCAGACATCCAGCTCCCTCGGATGGAAAAACGAGAGCCAAAACACAAGCAGTGCTACTTAGCAAATTGAGAAGAGCCCACTCAGAGCTTTCACCTAACAGAAGACAAATTATAGTGGTTATTCATTAGTTCAAAGCACTTCTCCCTAACCAGTGCTTCCTAGCAGGAGAGAGAGCAGCGAAGCGCCAGGCTGGGCGATGCTTTCCACTTTGCCACGCTCCCTGTGCAGAGGAGGCGCAGGCAGCGTTACCCAGACCAAGGCAGGAACGGCCCCAGGGCAGCAGCTAAAAGACAGAACTCAGTGGCAGAGTCTCACTGCCCCCCACCCCAGTCCTCTGCTGTTTTCTCCCCTCCAAAGAGCAGAATGGAAACATCCCCTTTACCCACAGCATCCCCGTAACTCAATGGCCACATTCAGCAGCTCTCTCACCCTGGAAGCCACGGACACCAATCATCGCTTTCAAGCTCACACCCCTCTACCCAAATCCCGACCACAAGCTCCCTCCCTCTGTGAAAAGTTTAGATCTTTCCATTCTTGCTCCTTCAAGGCCCAGTCTCATCCCAGTCGCCCTTTTCACCACCCCCAGTCAGCTCCCCCTTGAACTCCGTACACCCCCAGGGACTCTCTGCTTGCCATGAGGCTCATCTCAAGCACCCTGGAGGACTGCTCCGAACTTCCCCACCAGCCCCTAGCAACCACCCCTACCCTCTTAGCTCAGTCAGCTCCTCGGGCTCCGTCCCTCTCTGTGTGTGGTGTAAGAAAGAGAGGCTTTGGCTCCTCATAACTAAAGGAAACAAGACAGACTTCTCCATCTGGTCAAAAAATATTCAGCTGATCAACTGTACACCACCAATAGTACACTTTCAAAAAAAAAAAAAAAACCAAAACCAAAACACAACAGAGATATATTCCTGCTCCCTCCTGTTTTTTTACCAGCGAGGAGGGGAATGTTGCCACACCTCAGCTGAGGCTCAGTTACAGAAACGATGGGAAGAACTGAACTGGAGTCCTCCCGCAAAGCAGGCGCCCTTGTGAACGGAGGGAAGCCCCCATCCGGGGCAGCTCCGCAGAGCGGATGCGTCTTAAGATGCATCTCAGGCAGCTCTAAAAAAAATTTTCTGGAACAGGCAATGGCAAAACAGACGTTCAGTGCTGCGTTTTTGTATTAAAAATGGGCACAATTCAAACGATTAAGCTGAAATTTAAAAAAAAATACCATTTCTGTGGAGAGCACGATGTAGGACAGCAAGCAGAATGCAAAGTTAATCACACAGGCAAAAAGCGAAATACATTCATAGGAGAAGGGAAAAGGCAGTAAAAAGAATTTAATTCTGTCTTCATCTCAGAAATAAGTGTTTCCTACACTAGCCTAATATTATCCGGGTCATCTCAATGCCAAATGCATGAAAAAAACTCCTGTAGTAAATTAAAGAATATACTCTTAACATTTTCCTGTTCTCCTTGCATCTCATAACATCATCCAATTTAACACTACAGTTAAAAAATAAAGCCTTGATACTGAAAATATTTACTCCACATAAAATAATTTTATTAGCATGAGTCCTTACACTGCTTTATATACAGTACTTGCAAAAACATCCTTTCTGTGTGATTTTGCAGGATCATACCTTTATTTTGGCATTTTTTCCTGGTTAAGGAAAAGAGGCAATATCAGCCTACACTGAAATTAAGGAAACCATCAAATTATACTAATGGTATAAAATAATATAAGTTACAGAAGCAAATTTAAACTACTTTTAATGTTGCTTGGGGGTTTATTTTTATATCTATCAACATTCAAAAGATGACCTGGTGGGTAAAAAATGAATGACTGGGACTAAAGCTTACAAGTGTAATGCTATCTTTTTTCTGAATAATGAAGTCTCCTATCAGTATAAAAACTATTTTTACCACAAGAACAAAATTCTTCTAAACTCTTTTGGCTTACATCCATGACTGCTTAAACTAATTAGCAAGGCCATCTTCTGACAAATTTTATTTTAAACTTTCATCAACAACAACAGCAGCCCAATGAGAAGTATTAGCAGGTGGCTGGAAAAGACGATTATAACCCCATTGTATTAGCTCAGTTTTGGCATATACACATTTTGGTAGCTATAGTGTTAAAGACCAGTGATTATACCATGGTTACAGTAGATACACTGTCACCTGAGGAAGAATTTAAAATGACAGAAAATATTCATTTAACTTACAGGTTTGTAGAGTATAACTGGATTCCAGAATTTGGCTTCTACATTAGTAACGTGAAAGGATAGCATTTTCAATTATTTTAAAAGATAACATTTGGTAACACAACTTTTAACTTCTTTAAGACAGCAATGTGGTCTAATTAAACACTCCTATAATAAAAATAATGTTAGCAAGAGATAATGCAGGTACTGTAAGTGAAATCATTATTATTTAAGTTTTGCACCACATTTATCAATGATGAGAAAGTTTTAAACACGTACTTCTGAAAATGTTAAAAATGGAAATAATAATTACAGTCCTGCCAGGTTAATGCTTGTATAAAACAGCCACTTTCTGTGTGTTGAACCGAAACAGAAAGGAAAAACAACTGAGCTTCAACACTACAAAGCTATTAAGGATCCCTCACCTTAGAGCAGGCTTTTTCAGTTTGCATGCATTGAGAAGATTCACAGACCTGCTTAATCCAGATTGAGAGGTGCATAAACAAAGCAGAATAAAAAGTGAATGCAACAAGAAGATGTGGAAACAAGACATTTGAAACAAACTTACATTAAAGACATAATTGCATGCTTTCAAGATATGAAGTCACGTGCAAGAGTAAACAACACAGTGCTTATTGACTCAGTTCAATGTTTGATCATTTCAAACCATACATTTAAGAACACCAATGTATCTTTGAATGACAAAATCTCAGTAATGCTCCAATAGACTGACCATTTGTAAAGCGACTCAAAAAAAAAAAACCACCACCAAAAGAAAATCAAAGAGGCTACCTGAAGAAACAAGACAGATGAGCCAGCTAGAAGACAAAGACTATTAAAAAAGCACTAGTAGAGACAAGATAATAAATCCTCGAACATACATACTCATACCACAGTATAGCATGAATGTTTCAGGTGGTTGCATTACTGAATTGTGGTAAACAAATCTGGCCAAAATTAAAAAAAAAAAAAATTATTAAGATTTTCGAAAGAAAAAAAAATCGTGGTAATAAAAAACAAAAAATGGCGCACAATGCTCTGAGACAGTAACTGATGACATTAATATTTTTAAAACTTCTCTAGCACTCCTTCTGACCCTCATTTAAATCAATTAGAATAAATTCAAGAATAACATATGACTTTAATTTCATTATGCCTTTGAGCAAAATGCACTAATAACTTCAATTATTAGAGATACAGTGAAGTGGCATAATAGTTTTGCCACTCGAAGTTCAATGGAGAGGGATTTTTTTTTTAATTTATATTCACTTTATTTCAAAACATTTTCTTTGAGAGTCAAGTGTTCAACAGAAGACTTAATTGCAGGTTCGATACAGAGTTTGTGTGTGCGCCAGTTACAAACCATTGCTGCCCCCAGAACAGAACACAGAACATTAATCCCAGGCGACTGAACAATTTCCTAGGGGCCATGTGTTTAGAAGAACAGGAATTTATCATATTAAAGTATTTTATTCTCCCTACAAACAAAGCTCTATGTTTTCTTTGTTCCAGCTTCTTCCTTTTGATCTCCATTGTCCAAGTTTTGCACCATTGTAATACTTTACAATCTGCTGGGGTAGAAAGAATGACTGATTGTCCCCTTCTGAAAGGCAAAGTACGCGCTCGCCTGCAGCAGTATCCCTGCTGGGAAAGGTACCCTCTGCATTCTCCTCCCTTACATTCTTTTTTTTTTTTTTTTTCCCTCCTTTTTTTTCCCCTCAACTCTTGGAAACAAAGCTATCCTAGATGAGTCACAAAACCTTCGATTTTAATAGGGAACACAAAACATTACTACTGTGCACTGGCCAAATTCCAAAGACAAATTCAGTGTTAAGCAGGGAACTTCAGGCCACATTACATCTGAAAGGAAGAGTGGAGGGGGAAGGGAAACTTCTGATACACTAAATTCCTCTTCTTCTGAATGAAAATTTCAAATAATTATTCTATGCACAAAGTTCAGAACAAAAATATAACAGTGTTCAAAAAGTTGGTGCTTGAAATAGCTTCTACACTTCTACAGCATAAAAATAGTAAATATATTAAAGTCAAACCCCCTGAGCAAAGGGTTTTTGTGAAGACGACTTTGAAGCACTTACACAGGCGGGCCATTCTTGGTTATCTGTGCCAGGTGATTATCCAGCCCACCACAAAACGACTGCACCTCGGCATCCGCCAGCTCGCAGTTGGAAGCCGCCCAGCCGTGTTCACAGGGCACCCCAGCACCCCCACAGGGCACCCCAGCACCCAGGCGTGGCAGCGCCCGCTGGTGATGGACCAGAATTTCTGGTCCCAGTATCACCAGGCTTTCTCTCTTGCACTGTGTTATTACCACATATTTTATAAGCTGGTTGACCTATGTTTTGTGTTTATGCTTTTGCTCTCTCATTTCATTCCTTCCTTAACTTGGATAATTGGGTGTTGACTATACAAGATCTGAATGCTGAAGGGGGTTTGGTGCCCTCAATTCTAATTGAAGTCAGAGTCAGTTGAGGTTACTCAACGCTTTGCAAGATGTGGATCTAATTATCACATTAGGCCCTATAATAACCTACTGATATCCAGAGATACACATTTTACATACGGAAAACCAATATGCATAGAGGTTAAATGATTTGCATAGGTCATTGAAAGAATATGTGGCAGAACTGAAATAAAAGCCTGCCAGTTCCACCCTTTCAGCCTCCAGCCTTTTTGTTACCTCCAGTTTCATATTCCTGCCAGAAGAAGTCATTTCCATTTCAAATATTAAATGGGAAATCAGAAAATGTACTGAACTCTGAACCACATCGCCTTGGTAATCCAGATGTGCCGTATACCAACCCGTGGGTTCAAACGAGTTAACCAGCACATTTAAACATAGCTATTGTACGAAATGAGATTGTGTCTGCAGACATATCAATAAGTACATTTATTTCCAAGCAGTGCAATGTATGGACGCACACTTGGTCCCCACAGAGATGATTTGCATATATTTATATAAATATGCATGACATACAGTTTCAAGGGACAGACTGATGTAATTTCAGTTGGGTATCCTACACTTCCTAACCTAAATCATGACAGTAGCAGAGAATGGAGGAATTGAAAGTTATTTGTTATCCACCTTTTCATAACTGTGTTCAGTAAAACACCTGGGAGGGACTGGATTAACCTGGATGTTTGTCTCTTTCGAAGGTCATAGGTAAGAAAAAAATTGAAGATTATATTTTTCTAGTACAGTAATCTTAGCAGATATTTGTAATTCACAACAGTAGACCAAAGGTTTAAAAGAAGACTCAGAAAAAAAGACCCTTCTTTTTTACTTTCACTTTTCAAATTTTACTTTTTCACATTTTGAAAAATTCAGATTTTTCAGTTCTGCACCTACACCATATAGGAAAAGAATTAAAAGTATCCAGGCAGAAATTAACAATTCTATTTAGAGCTGCTATGCCACATTACCATATTTTGCACTGAAGAATACCTACATTACAAAGTACTACCAGTTTTAGAATCAGTTTCTATGAAAAGAGCACTATAAAACCATGCAAAAATCAGAATTAAAAAAATTATTCAAAATTACAACATCTGTAAACTGTTCAACACTTCAGTGAAGCTTCTTAACACAAATCAAGAAGTCCTTCTTCCTAAAAAAAAACAAAAACCTGTTTGATCTTCCTCCTATATTTCCATTACTGTTTTATGCATATATTCCTGAATGTAAAAGTGTCCATTATAAAATATGAATTAATTCATACTAACAAGTTCATAATGAATTCATCTACCTGACTATTTGTAAGCAAGCTACTTGGAACACTTAATACATCATCCTTAAATACTGAATATTTGGAGCATGATTTTAAGCAGTTACTTTAAGATTCATTATCAAAAGCTACTAAAAGTAGAGACTCATTTATCAAAAAAAGTTTTGTACAAAAATTCATCGGTGAGATCCTTACCATTCTACACTCTTCATGTTGAAGTATATTTATAGGCAAGGCATAAATTATACTTCAATGTAAATTAATAAAAAATAAAATTTGCATGTTAAATACAATCAATACAGAATTTTAGAGCATTTGAAGGGAACAGGAATTCCACAGCGCCTGGACTTAAAAATGCTTTCATCAGGACACAGAATAACCCTATTCTCCTAAGCACTCTTTAATAAGTGTCCATCTATTTCAGCAAAACTGCCCATGTGTATTTTTTCTTTTCCAAAACTGAATATACATTTTTCATACTGCATATTTAAAGCACCTTCAGTCTAGCCTCTTCAGCAAAGAGAAGGAATAAGCGATAATAAAAGGACATGAATTCTTTACCTTGTGGAAGACTTTCTCATACAGGAATCAAGACAGTGCAAAAATGCTCCCTGAGGATGCTCCCTCAGGACTTTCCCAGTGGCACCCAGGGCACCCAGTCCGCAAATGGGTCAGGCAGAAGGGTTGCAGAGTGTCACTTATCTACAGGGATCCTGAGCTAGGAAGATGCCTACGGGCTGCAGGCAATGCCTGATGGACCACTTGAACTACGCGAAGGACTCTCCGAACAGGGAAAGCACGAGTAAGATCTTGACCTGCATTTCATCCACCCTGCTCTGGGGCAGAAAGTCCTATGCTGAACCTTAGAGATGGAGTGCAGAGACTCAGGAATCACACCAGCGGTACACACGTGAAGCGTGCCAATGCTTGCGCTCTCTCATGTATTTTGTAATTACTACTTGAAACTGGATGAGCAAGAATGAAATGACAAGAATTATTAAGAAAAAAAATTGTCCAGAATATAATTTCATTAAAAATTCAGCATATCCAAAATAGTACTCCTTTTTAAACATTAATAAATTTTCTTTTAAAAAAGACAGGCTCTTTCACCCATTTTCAAAATTCCGATAACATAATTCTGACAATGGAACAGCCTATACAGTATTTGCCTTCCTCCTCTTATCTTAAGGGCTGATTTAGGCAAACCTGCCAAACCCTGCAGCTGCAGTGAGCTCCGGTTCACAGGAGCTCACAGGAGTTCATTTGTGTGACACAAACAAATATGGTAATTTCCAATTTTAATTGTGCATGCTATAGCTTCTCTCTGCTCTACAATAACAAAGCCTGAAGTTTCTTGGAAAATCCGTCCCCTTTAACATAGTAACAAAGAGAGGCATATCCTTGGCCACTATCTCCCCTTTAAGGAAAAAATCTCTTTACAAAAGAGACCTCAGATCTTAGCAGGTTAATGCTCTCCTCTCCACCACTTGCGCTCCTCAGAGCTGACAGCATCATCACTACAAAAAGCTGAGGACAACACAAAACAAATGTAAAAAAAACCCCAAACCACACTATTATCTTTTACAGGCAAACCATAGAGCAGATTAGGACCACAATAACTGTCACATGGAACTTGAACTTGCTGCACCCAATCCATTGCTTTCCTCACAGCCTAGATGTACAAAACATGTAGCCCACTTAAAAACAACTATACACACCCAAAGCAAATTGAGATAGAGCAGCAATTTTTAAATGAAATTCAATACATGCTAATGGTAAGATATCTAAAGATGGATGTTTTAATTTGCATAAATATGTGCTAGGCATAGAATTTTCCTCCTCCCTGAGATGCTTCTAACACTGCACATGCAGTTTCTATGATAATTTTTAGTGGGAAAAAACCGAAGGTAATATACTGATTTGTACTGATAGCACAGTTTCTCTACATACTATAAATTTTCTGCTAGCTACTGGAAGAATTCTTGCACTACTTTCCATGTCACGTTGTGCAACAGCACAGTAGAAATGCTTTATTCTCTATATGTGAGGCTGCTGTAGTAAGAAAATAACACAAACCAGTAAACCAAGCATTGCCCATTCTTTCAATATTCATGGTAATAACCTTAATTCTAATTAGAACAAAAAAACTTAAAGCCACTTAGAACAAAACCCATCTCTCTTTTTCTTTCCAAACAAAATATTTAGACCGTTGCTTTGCATGTAAGGAAAACTACGTTTCTAGAAGCTTAAAAGAGGAGATATACCATGTTTCCAATTTCACAATTGTAAGGTTTCCGATAGATGAATACCTTTTTGCTGCTGGCGATACAGTTTCCTTTCTGGTTCCTGATGGGGAAGGTAAAGAGCCACTTGGTTTCTTTGGTAACACAGTGCCATTATTAACCGCAGTCCTTAGAGGCAGGGTTTGCACCAGTGGTCTTGCTGTAAAACAAGAGGAAGCCAAAATCATTGTTTTCATCTGCTTTTCTTTTTTTTTTGTCCCCAGCAAACAACATTAGAATATTTAAAAGAATCCATGTAGTATGCCATTTTTGTTTCACTATTGCCAAATGCACCATAGACGAGGGTTTTAACAAGGAGGAATTTTATTCCTGTTATTTTTATTAATAATAATCATACCAAGAAAATCATCTGCATGTGGCTTAAGCACACAATCCAATAACGTCTCTCATCTGTAAAATTCTGTCCTAGCTCAAGGAGCTTACCGGTAAGTGCAAAGGTAGTTGTTGCCACTGAAAACAATCCTGCTGTCTTAGAAGAGCATCAGTCTCTTGCCCACCTGGATAGTGTACAGAGGAGTGCTGGAAATGAAGGCAGGTTACCTGCTCTTCACCCCTCAACGTTCTTGCAGGTCTTCCACAAGAAAATGATCTGTTAAGAAATCCCTATTCCTCCCAGAAGGTCTTCTTTCAAAGACTGTGGGCTTATGTTTGACAAAGGAATTTTATTCTTTAGTCAGAAAAAGGGATTGAAAGCAGCGGAATATTATGCACTGACATTATCTACCTACTTTCTTCTGATCAAACGTTGGCTCAAAAAAGCATATACATGTCATACTTGTAATTAATATTAGAACAACAGAAAAGACCCATTCAAGTACGTTAGAAATTAGTTGCAAAAACAAACAGTGTTTAAAATGGCAAGCAGTGAGTATAAACGTGAAAGCAACAGCAGACCACAGCCTGAAAACGGAGACACAAACATGACTAGTGCTCTCTCTGTTGCAGGGATGAAAGCTTGAGTCGCTTGAAATTTGACAGAACTTTGTATCGCAGGCCGGCTTTTACAGATGCCAAAAGTCTCTGGGTTCAGAGAAACAACACCCGAGAGAAGGCAGCAGTCACAAGTCACTTAAGGAACACAAGATAAAACTTCACTGAACTTGGCAAGGATGGCAGAGAGAATGCCTATGAAATCTTAAAAAAAAAACTGCTGAGGCTAAATAATCTCAAAAGTTAAACTGAAACATTAACAAACACATACAGTCCCAGGTTATATTATACCATCTTACTGTAGCACTGACGGCAAGCGTTTATGGACTTGTTCACCTGAAGTTTTCACATATTGAACAAAAGATGACAGATGTGAAAGCCTGCGCCTTGACAAGATTAGGTCAGTAAATGCAGCCTACTAGGGAATGCAATTATCAAGACAAACTTTGTCTTGAAATTTTGTTAGAATAAACACTTACTTGTTATGTATTCATCATTTATTTGTTCAGAGGAGAGAAATTTAGAAAACAACCCATAAGGAAATATTGGAGGAATGAGGCTTATTCAGCTTAAAAGACTGAAGGATGGCACAAAAACAAGTCAATAAAGAAAAAAAAAGAAAAATAATGAAGAAAATTTTCTCCATGCTCACTGAGGATCTGCAAGCCTATAACCATGGAAGATCGATACGGTGAGACACTACCACTCTCACCACGGATAGGAAGAGGAAGGGTGCTCTGATTTTCCAGGAAGCTTTAAGGAAAGGCCAAACAAGATCCAGATGAATTCATGGTGCCTTCCAGCCCTGGCTTCCATGATCTACTTTAACAGACTACTCTTTTGAGGTTTGTTTTTTTTTTTTTCTTATTAAGGGATTCAGATATCACAATCGTATTTACTTCTACAGTATTCATTCTTCCAAATTATATTCTTCCTATGGTTTTGTGCTGGATGCTCTGCTGCTTGTTTCCTGACTAACTGCTGCAATGCCGTTATTCATCTGTATGTATAAAACTGATTCTGTTGCATACTACAGAATCACAGACAGCTACAGTTGAGCAGTTGTGGAAGACTTGTTTCCTGACAAGATTTCTGTACCTCACAAAACTTCAATGAGGCTTTGAGCTCACAAATTAGAACAACAATTAAAGTTAAATAAATTATTAAAATATTTCCCTTCTTTACACTTATATATAAAAAAGTCAATTTAAAAGTAGCTGGAGTGAACTAGCTGGAGTCTGTTTACTCTCCCAGTCTTATGAAATTGAAACTAGCAGCAGCCAGGAATAAATCCTGCAACTTTTAACAGAGGTTTTGCTTCAGCTCTGGCTTGCTTCCACCAGCCCAGCACTGCGGGCTCTGAAACTAGAGATTTAAAGGTCTAGCCCTGTGGCCAGCTAGTGTAGAAAGCAACACCATGAAACTCTTCCATGGCACAAAGAAAAACTATACATTATTCAATCAATCCACTAGTCACTCTGAAGCTATTTAGTTTTATTTACAACAGCTAGTTCGCACCAGTGGTAACTGACATAACAATCAAACAACCCCAAATGCACCATTGCTGTTAGAAGTCAGTAACTCCAACACGTTGGTATTATTGCTTTGTCAGTAACGTTTATTCTGGAAGTTCTGTTGCTTCAAGGTCTTACCTGTACTGACATGTTTATCAACCTCAGCAGCAGCTTTTTTAATCATGCTCTGATCTAAGGATTAATAGGGCTGTTAAGTTTACAAACAAACCAATAATTGCGAAAGGAAAGAACAACAAACACAAGTAAAACAAAGGTAGGAAGCCATACTGAACTCCGCCAAGTAGTTGAATTAAATAAGGAAGGGGGGAAAAAAACCCAAAGGAAAACCCAGAACACCATTAGTGGAGGAGCTCCACAAATGGACAGGATAAGCAGTTCACTTTCCATGATGTACACTGCTCTTCAGTCGCATAGCTCAAGTCTAGAGCAAGAACACACACAGAGACTGAAAACAAGCTCAAGCTTTTTTCCATTATAGGTTTGAAAGCCTGAAACTTGAAATCTTTAAATCAATTTTAAATCTGAGGTACTCACAAAAATGTAGTATTCTGTCCCATGAACCTTCTTGTTCCAGACTTTAAACAGTATGCTGGGGATCCTGTTTTTCCAGAGGCACAAACCTCCCCCTGACACACACACTTTTAACCCTGACCTGCTTCATCTATCAGGCAAATGAAAGAAGCAGCACACAATATGCTTCAAACCCAAGTTTGCACGGACGAGATTCTTGTGTCACTTTGTGAGATCAAATTCTGCTTTTTGCAATTCCAACTGTGGAATTAGTCATTAAATGATAAACGGAAAGAAAACGGATCAAGGTCACACAGCACAAGTGGTCAAACACGTCCACGTCTAAGCAAACCCCTCTCCTAACAGTCTCCATCAGAAGCCTCTGTAATACTATTCCAAGTTAAAACACTGAAATTCAGCTTAATCTTATGCTAAGTAATTGCATGCAGTTCGTTATAAAGTAGTTGTGCCTACTATAGGAAAAATACAATACATTTCACATGGTGATCTATTTGACGAAACAGCCAGAAGAAACCAATGATTGGGATGCTTCAGATTCTGTTGCTGCTGCAGAGTGTGTTTAATAAGGCTTACCATACACTAATGATACAACTGATACATAGTAAAATTAAAGTCCTTTACATAAATTGTTACAGTAGCAATTTTTTCCAGAAGTGAGGTGGATTTAGTTGGCAATTATCAGGACTCATTTCAGTAATTTGTAATGGAAAAGCAACTGTCATTTGTAGCCGTCCACTTGCATTATCACAGTAAAACTTCTTACGCTGTCATTTCACACACATACCAAAAAGTATCCATCCCATACACACATTTTTTAAAAAAAACCAAAAACAAACAAACAAACAAAAACAAACCAAAAAACCCCCCAAAATCCTCAGAAAACCCCAAACTAGCCACAAAAGGCAGAGGGATAGGCTTACAGCAGCTTTTCTTCAATGTACATTGAACAAAGGCTTTAAAGATCTGCCATGACCAAGAAAGCATCTCCTGATTTAGAGTTCAACTCTGCTCACAGTATCCATGAAAATCTAGTCTGTATTTTGCTACATAAAGCTAGCAGGCAAGAAGAACTGATTTGTTTACAACTCAGTAATAATTATTAGACTTTATTTCCTCCACGCATCAGATAATATCTATTTTACAGGCAACATAAAGCCTCTTAATCCCTTGTACAACCAGATTTGGTGGAACATTTTATCGAAGCGCAGGCTATCTTTAGTAACATTTAAGTTATCTGATATTCTATTTATTTTTTTTTTGCAATCAAACAGACAAGACAAAATGAGGAGAATACAACAGAAAGGGAAGAGAACAAGAAAACAAGATCACAGACATTTACTGCATATTCTGTCTGACAACTAGCATGATACATGATCAACTAATCTGGCTCTGTAACTCTGTCCCTTTCTCCTTTCCGCATCTCCAGACACAAAATATTAAAACAAACGTGACATCTCTGTTCAGCAAATTAAGTAGTTCCTTACCTATTCTGTTACATCAATGCCTAACAGTAAATATCTGTTGCAAATTCACAAATATACAACCAAAATGAAAGGAAGTCTAATTTCTGAGAAAATTATGAATTCATAATTGCATATCACACTTCCAATGTCAATTAATTTTTTAATTTATATTAATACATGTCAGGACCTCAAAAGAAGCAATTTCTTGATTCAGACAACAGAGAGCCTGTGAAGTCAGCCATACCTACTTTCCACATCTAGATTGCCACCACTCTTACTCCTAAGACTACCCAAAAATACCTCGTGCATTCCTACTAAGCGGCACATCGGCGGTCTCCCAGGCTTTTGCAGCCTCACAGACTGCAGTAAATCACACCGGTTGGGTTCTAATCAACCTTTACTGCTGCGAAGTGCTTGATGTCCAACTCCAGCTTTTCGGATTTGTGTACAAACAAATCCCTTCTTGCAGAGCAGGAGCCAAGAGCAAGCAATGGGCGCAGCCCAGCACAGTGCCGAGCCTGCCACACCTGTCACTTCCCTGCCTCTGGATCTGCTATGCTTGAACAGGGCCAGGCACCAACCAGAGCTCGGCCTCTCCTTCGTAGCTGAGCAGCTGCTGTTGCAACCATCTCCTTGGCCATGTCACCTCTGTGCTAGCTCACAGCTCTGTCTTTGGCCATGGCTGCACCATCCAAAGACACTTAGGACGTTTTAAATTAAATTAAAATTACACCTTATTTAAATTTAATTAATTTTTTGGATTAAAAAATCCCAAACCTACTAGAGTTTCACCCACAGAATGCGATGCATTCCCTAAAGAGTTTATAAACTAATCTTGATCAAAAGTCAGGAAGTGGTAGCCATGGTTAAATGTAGATAGTGGATGAAGTACTAAGAATATGCAAAGGCTTCGCTGGTTCATGGGAACTGTACAAGGTTCACAGATTTAACCACTTGGATTTTTATGTGCTCTTTTTAACAGGTTAAATTTCAAACGTATTGTATTTTGAGTTTGATTTGTTGATTTTGAGTATTTCAAAGATCTAAAGAATAACCTGTTTTAATACATATAAAACACTCATTGAATTGCACAACCTATTTTACATATATCTGAAATGCAAACCTTTGGTAGGTCCTTTCTTGTTCTGCATAGCCTGCTGTTCCTCCGTAATATTCAAGCGTCGAACCACATCAGCAAGGGCAGATTTGAGCAGCTGGATGTCATCTTCCTGCATCTGGACACGTTGCTCCAGAGAGGCAATGCGATCTGTTACCTCCATACTGCTTGCAGCAGAGGCACTGTCATCTGTGTAAAAGAGTCGAAAAAGATGCATTATCAACAACGTATAACCATCAAGGAATCACATCCTTATAGTGGTAACCCTAATTGGAGGTTCCTAAAATTTTCCTTATATTCACAGAATCACAGAATCACAGAATAGTAGGGGTTGGAAGGGACCTCTGTGGGTCACCTAGTCCAAATCCCCTGCCGAAGCAGGGTCACCTACAGCAGGCTGCACAGGACGTTGTCCAGGTGGGTCTTGAATATCTCCAGAGAAGGAGACTCCACAACCTCCCTGGGCAGCCTGTTCCAGTGCTCCGTCACCCTCAGAGGGAAGAAGTTCTTCCTCATGTTCAGACGGAACTTCCTGTGCCTCAGTTTGTGCCCATTGCCCCTTGTCCTGTCGCTGGGCACCACTGAAAAGAGCTTGGCCCCATCCTCCTGACACCCACCCTTCAGATATTTGTAGGCATTTATAAGGTCCCCTCTCAGCCTTCTCTTCTTCAGGCTGAACAAGACCAGTTCCCTCAGCCTCTCCTCACAGGAGAGATGCTCCAGTCCCCTCACCATCCTTGTACCCCTCCGCTGGACTCTCTCCAGCAGCTCCTCATCTTTCTTGAAGTGGGGAGCCCAGAACTGGACGCAGTACTCCAGATGGGGCCTCACTAGGGCAGAGTAGAGGGGAAGGAGAACCTACCTCGACCTGCTGGCCACACTCTTCTTAATGCACCCCAGGATCCCATTGTCCTTCTTGGCATCCAGGGCACACTGCTGGCTCATGGTTAACCTGTCATCCACTAACACACCCAGGTCCCTCTCCGCAGAGCTGCTCTCCAGCAGGTCAGCCCCAGCCTGTACTGGTGCATGGGGTTGTTCTTCCCCAGGTGCAGGACCCTGCACTTGCCCCTGTTGAACTTCATCAGGTTGACACCTTATATAACTGGGGGCAGGTAAAACCACCGTTTTGCTCTGACCTGATGATGTCTTGAGGAAGAAAGCTATTAAGTGACTAAAAGGAAGTGACAGAAATAAAAAAATAAATGAGTACCTAAGTAAAATGTGATAATAAGGTTGGCTTCAGGGCTACTTAGTGCTAACTGGGCCCCATTATCAACTCTCTACATGTCTGAACTGGAGTGATCACCCATCACCTTTCACTGTTCTGCTCAACACTACTTTCTGGCACTGGCAGGTGTTCAGGTAGACAGCTATACATTCTGATGTGCTCCACACCCTTCCAGATTTTTCCTTCTCACATACATGACAGAATGTATACATTAGATATATATATAAGCAACAGATAGGCTTACACTTTTTCAAGTTATTGTGCACAGACTGAAGAATAGATATTAACTCCATCTGCTAACTCCTAATTTATACCAGCAGCTTTACGAGAACACTCCTTCTGACTGAAATAGAAACATTAAATAAATACAGAATTACTCAGTAATTATACTCTTAGCCTGCAAGTTCTTGAAAGGGTCATTACTCTGCATACAACTCACACATTATTCGGAAACAACCCACAGAATCTTAAAGCCTGCAACTCCCCGATGCAGGCTACACATGCTTTCCACCCAAAACTAGTAATATTTTTCCTAAATGAGTACTTTCTTTCCACTCCAATTCCTATCAAATAGAAACATTGCAATTTCTTAGAATATTAAGTGAGGAAAAAGAAGAAGAAAGGAAGACAAAAGCAATGCCAAAGATGTCAAAGTCAGTATCTATTAGGAAAAAAAAAAACTGTGCAGTTTTTAAAGAGAATTGCAAGGTTTTATTTAACGAGCTGAATTTGAAACCTACAGAAAGTTGGCTATTAACTTACTGGATCATTTTAAGTAACATTAGTCAAGTGATGATTGGATTACAGTTTTCATCTGAAGACTTAATAAATTACAGTTTAGCAAAAATTGATATTTATGCAACTATCTACAATCGTAATTTACTTCTCCCTCATTCCTAATGTGAGCCCACAGCACATATTTCTTCTGTCAAAGCTCTTCTCTCTTTGTGAAGAAGCTGGTATTTGTTTTCATTTCTTGTGTACCTAATTATCTTCCATTCCAAACCAGAGTTTTACACTTCTTTTGCACAAGGGCACAAAATGAAAGTTAAATAAACGGCTTGTGCACAGTAATAACTAGTGTTGAATTTTCAAAGAGGAAAACAATAGCTTCTGAGCACATTTAAAAACATGTCCAAAAATGTTAATATATACAAACTTTTAAACAGAAAGATCTGGGGAAAAATTGCATGTAAAACTAAAAAACCCTCTATTCATCTCTAAACCACTCCAATAGAAATTGTTTTCGAAATCTGTTCGTAAACTGCGTTTTGCTTCTTTACCCCTCCCTCCCCCAACAGCTATCCGCGGTTACCAAAAGCTGAATTAGAAACAGCTCAGAAATAAAGACTATCATCATATTGACAGTCCATAAATAGCTACAGGTTAATATAGTTTAAATTGCTTGTTAATTCTAAGATTTTCGGAGCACATTTCAAATATCAGCGTTAGAATATTTTTAGGCTGAACACAGTGGTAACGTAAGTACCCTGTTCTGACAAACTAAACCAGAACTCTAGTTCCTGAAAAATGCTGAAAAACTTTCCTGACGACAAAGCTTTCCAAATCTGGGCCTCAGCAGACCCCTGCCCAGCCCAGGACTCTGTCCTGCAGCTGCTGCAGGTAATTAATCCCCCAGCTCGGATGAGCAGCCGTGCTGGCAGCAGCATGAGCTGCCTGCAGAACTTAACCTTTCCTTGTACAAACAAAAGGCCCACGCTGCTCTAACGACTTTACGCTTTAACTCAGCTGGAAATAACCTAGATTAGCATACTGGACAATAGGCAACCACATCAAAAGCTTGATTTAACCAATACAAGCCAAATTCAACCTTCAGCCATTCTGCCAAACTCTATACGGCACAGCACAGTTTTCTTCTGAATGCAGTCAACAAAAAATAGCCAATTCCCAAATTCTGGGCAGAGAAGGAAACCCAGGGAGAAATCAGTTGGTGATAAAATGATCTAGCCCTTGTTACAAAAGAAAACATCCTCATTAAAGTATCAATTTCACCAATTTTTAAGTGTGTAGATACAGTCCTTCTGCTTGAACATAAATCTTCAAGTAGTAAATCAGTGGCACTGGTTTATTTACAGTCCCACAAAAAACCCACGCCCACTAATAACTATTAAGATGTACATCTCTCTTTCTTCTTCCCCCTTCTCCCAGCTGTCCCTGTGACTCTGCCCCTCACACCCTTGCTGACCAACACGCAGCAGCAAACCCTTCCTCTGGACACCGCGCGTCTGTGCCTTCCGCCATCAGCGTTCTTCCTGCTCCTCGTGAACGTAACCCTCGTCCTTGCCGCAGTCTACAACCTGCTCTTTTATGGTGGTTACCACACTGGATGCAACCCCCTTCCAAGGATGCAGAAAAGAACAAAGTTTGTAACAATTTTCAGTAAGATTGCAACTGAAGACAAGAGTCCTGCCAGACTTCACTTTGCCTCCCCTTTGCATGCATAGGCCAGTAAGCTAGAAAAGAGACACAGAATATAATAAAGCTATGTTTTCTGACGAATGCAAAATTCATTTATAAAGTAAGCATAACCTGTTTGTTACGCAAGGAGAGGATGGAATGTTCTTGCCGTTGAGATCTTTGCATCGAGTACATTGAGCAATAACATTGCAACTTAAACACAACCAAGTAAGCACAGTGGTATCGTACCAGAAAAGAAAAAAATAATTAATGATATAAACTAACCAAACAACAACAAAGTCACAACAGATGTCACCTACTCTGCCAACAAGAGCAAAAGTTATATTGTTAGCCCAACTTGTGATCTGCCTCTGCGGGAGACAGCTCACCCTCACAGCACAGAACATTTGCGAGGAAAGTTTTAGCACACACTTGTAATGCAATTTAGACTCTGAGTAGAGCCATCTTACTATTACTGTTCCCAAGGCAATATTAAATTTGAAGTGACCACACATTTTGTAGCACCTAGTTCCATGGCCTTCCCCTGGATAAGGCGCGTCCTCAAGGAACCTGCGCAGAGGGGGCTGGGGGGGCCACGGGGGTTTCGGCGGAAGGCGGCTGCGGGGTGCCCAGAGGCCAGCGACCACCGCACCTCGGGGTGTTCCAGCCCAGGGCTGCAGCGTCCCTTGCAGCATCCACGTCCACGCGTGCACTCACGCCGCAGCGGGGTGACAAGCATGCTTTGGTTGTGTGGTTACTGTAACCGAGAGACAGGAGCTTTATAGTAACGATGTAAAGATCCTCAAAACACCTCAGGTGAATCCAAGGAAATAAAAACATGCTTTTAAAAGAAATCCACATAAATAGAAATTTGCAGCAATAATACACAACTGTTACTGCACGTCTTTACAATATATTAAGAATATCATTACTTCACTACATGTTACTTTTTGTGATTCAATGACTCTTTAACAGTGTCAATATACTTAGATTTGGTGACCTCTTTGCAATCTACCTGCACAAAACCCACAGATGCTAACTATCACCTGCACAAAACCCACAGATGCTCACTATCTTGAAAAGCATATGAAGGAGACTACAAGTCCAAACAATTCGCCTGGAAGCATTGGATCGGTAGCATCGATAGCATGTCAGAACTAACAATTGCCTCCTTTTTCATCAATGGGAAGGAAAAGGACTTTGAAACCAAAATTTATGTAACCTGTTTTCAGAAATCTGAAGTGAATCACATTCTTCAAGTGTTCATTTCTTTTCATGGATTATAACCCAAGTCTAAATCATTGTCTCAAACATGCAAAGCTACATCTCATGAGATAAATGCCACCTACAATGTCTAAAATTAGATAAAATGAGGAGGTATCAATTCTGATGCCTGATTTTCATCGTAATACATATTTGTGGTAAAGCTTGGAAAGAAGAGTCATTTGTCATTTATGCTTTGCTGACATTCCACAGGTTTCAAAGAGAAGGCAGCAAAAAGAGGGAATGTTCTT